TTGGCTCCATAATTCCAATTTGGTACCCTTCATTTCCATCAACTCTTAAATAGCAAATGTGTAACAGCACCAATTTCCCTGTTTCTATGAAGAACTTTATAGCTCGACCTCTATGCTGTCTTACAGCTGTAATATGCCGAAATGAAAACTGATAAGAAGAAAATCTATTCTTGGAACTAAGTTAGATTTGAATCTGGCTATCATCTTTGATTTAGTTGGTCCGAAAGTGAACTTGACTGTATCCTATCCTAGGTTTCCCCATTTCAATGTGGATAGGTGGGTGGAATTTTAAATGGGGTATTATGGGAGGCTTTAATGAAAATATGACATTTAAGAAATGTTCAAATTCTCTTTGTAGTCCAAATGCCCATCCACGATAGATTGTATTGTAAAACATAACCAGCTACATCTTTTTCAGCTCTTAACACTAAAGCATGAAACAATATACACATGCATGATACAGTGTTGAGTGAACACTCATCAACAGAAAAGGGAATGACATCGACAGTCAGCAATATTGAAATGCATTACATCTTTGCAGGCGAAGAATCAATGACTTGTACTCAAAGGTGTTGAATAATGTGATGTGGGAGGGAAGAATAAGGGAGAGTAATGGAAGGAGTTGAACTAACCAAAGTAAAGTATACTTGCAGTGGGAATACATCAAGAAGCCCCTCTGAAAATTGACTTTGGAACTAGTAACAAAAAACAGGACTGTAAGCCAGGTGCCAGTGGCTCACATTTATAATCCTAGCTACTTAGGAGGCAGAGATCAGGAGGATCACGGTTCGAAGCCAGCCCAGGCAAACAGTTCTATGAGACCCTATCTCAAAAAAACTCTTCACAACAAAAGGGCTGGTGGAGTGGCTCAAGGTGTAGGCCTTGAGTTCAAGCCTCAGTTCTGCAAAACAACAACAAAAGAACAGGACTATAAAATAGGTACAGTGGGGTAGGGCTACTTATGCAAAGGAGGAGGGTGAATGAAAGAAAACAAGTTGAGGGAATATGGCCGATGAACTTCATATCTATATGAAACAGAACAATGAAACCTCTTGCAAGTGCTTTCAGTGAGGCAGGGAGAGAATTGCAGGGGTTGTGGTGAGGGCGGGAGATGGTGGGGCCGATCTAACCCAATGCACAATGTAAGGTTATTCAAAATAGCCACAAAAAATCCCCCCTGCACAACAAATATCCTAATTTTAAAAAAAAGCAAAAAAGATTATACTTATAACACAACAAACCAGAAACCATATCAAGAAATGCAAAGCAAATGACTGTACACAAATCCTTACTTATTCTTACAGCTTCAGGCTTAGTGTTTACTACTATCCTAATACTAATTAAGATAATTAATTAATTAATTAATCCTAATACTAATCAAGCGCTTCCTTGATTCCTTTTGTTTTACTTAACTCTACATTAGTATATTTACTAATATATAAATTCCTAAACGTGCAGCTGAGTTTTGCCTGTTTCTGACCTTTATATAAGTGTAACCATGCAAGTATGTTTATGTTTATGCAAGTATGTTTATGTTTTTTAGCTTAATGTTTATAATTATTGTACAAAATTAAAATTTTAATGGAGTCAACTTTATTAATCATCTTCCTTTGACTAATATTTTTGTGCCTTTGGGATTTATAGAAGAATCTGCAATACAAAGGTGTTCACCCCTATACTGCCCATCTGGGGTCTAATACCCTGCAGAGTTGTCTGCTAGTGCTTAGCAACTCACCTGGATGACTCTGGGTTGAGATTTCCTCCTCTGAGAACCAAGGTGCTTCTCCTTGCTGCAACTTGGAGATCACCTCTGGTTTGAAAATGCAGTATCCTGTTAAGAGAGAACTGAAGGCTCAGGCTAGATACATGAGCTTTTTGGTCTCCCAAAGTGGAAGGAGGTATAGCTTCAGGAGCAGCATCCTGAAGATGCTCATTTGGGAGCTTACAACAGATTCTTTGTAGTCCTCATAAGGGTTTAGTTACTTTATACTCCTGAATGAAAAGCCCAAGTAACACAAAACTTTGTGTTTACACATGTTGACATATACCAAGGAGTACCTTCTTTATGGCGCTACAAAAGGAAAGGTAGGCTTAACTGCTCACCCACAGAGACAAGGTGGCTGTAGTTCTCCAGCATCACGTCTCTGTACAGGGTCCTCTGAAAAGGGTCCATGTGTTGCCACTCCTCCTGAGTGAGTTCCACAGTCACATCCTTGAGTGACACTGATGCCTGTAACAGCACATTTGTTTAATCTGAAGCATCCAGAATTAGAAGTAGAGATTTAAAAAGCTCATAAAACAATTCTTATTTTGTTTACTATAAAGAGTTTAAAATAAATATGAAAAATGCCTATTTTGGGTCTAACAACATCTTATACTTTGAAGGTAATCAATTAGTAAGATGCTTATAACAATTTGTATATATTTAAGAATTAGATACATTAACGATTAATGGAGATATTGGTGACATCTTTGTTGTCATTGATAACATGACTTAAAATACAGACAACACTGAAGAATCCACAAAAACTATTAAAACTGCTTAATGAATTCCACAAAGTTGTAAGATACAAGATGACCACACAAAAATCATTTGCATCTCTATATACTAGCAATGAACAACTGAAAAAAATTAAGGAAACAATTCCATTTACAATAAATGCTTAGTGGAACAGCTGCATCTAATGAAAATATATTGTAAATGCCTTTGTAAATGTCACAATGTACCCCTGATACAACTATAATATGCTAATAAATTTTTTAAAAAAATAATAAATGCTTAGGAATTATTTAACCAAGAAGATGCATGACTTGTGTATGAACATTAGAAAATATTTCTGAAAGAAATATAAAGACCTAAATAAATAAAAGGATAGTCTATGTTCATTATTGGAAGATTTAATATTAATATGAAAATACTCCCAAAAGTGAATCACAGAGTCAATAAAATCTGTATTCAAACACCAATGGCCTTTTTGTAAAAATATTAATCCTATAATTCATATGAAATTATAAGGGATCCTGAATCATTAAAAACCATCTTGAAGGGCTGGTAGAGTGGTTCACATGCCTAGGAAGCGTGAGGCTCAGAGTTCAAACCCCAGTACTGACAAAAAAAAAAGTCTTGAAAAAGAAGAAAGTTTCAGGACTACCTCTTTCTGATTTCAAAACTTACTACAAATCACTAGTAAATCAAGAAAGTGTGTTACTAGCATAAATACAGATAACATAGATCCATGGAAGATAATTGAGAATCAATAAATAAATCCATACATCAATTAACAGGGAAAAAACAGTCTTTTTAACAAATGTTGCTGGGATAATTAGATAACCACATGCTGAAGATTGAAGTTGGACTCCTACCTCATGTCATATTAAAAAAATTATCTCATAATGAGTCAAAGACCTAAATATAAGCTTAAACTATGTAATTCTTAGAAGAAATCAGAGGTATACCTCACAATCTTGGATTTGACAATTATTTCTGAGGCAGGTCATCAAAAACACAAGAAATCAAAGAAAAAATATATTGGTCTCTTCAAAAGTAAAAACTTTTGCTCATGAGAGAATGCTATTAAGGCAGTACAAGGACAACTCACAGAATGGAGGGAATATTCACCCACACTATATTTATTAAAGGTCTAGTAGAGAGGATTTGTAAAGAACTCTCATACTAAATGAGAAAAACACAATCTAACTAAAAATGGGCAATGACACAGATAGATACTTTTCCAAAGATGATAAACACGTATCCAATTAGTACATGAAATATCATTGATCATCAGATAAATGCAAATCAAATGTCAAATAAGATACCATTTTGTACCCATTAAGATAGGACAAAAATCTTTTAAAAGGAAAATAACAAGTCATGGTGATGATATGGAGGAAATGAAGCACTAATATATTGCTGGTGGAGGGATGTAAAATGGTGCAGACACTGTGGAAAAGTTTGGCAGTTATTGAAAAACAGAGGTGCCATCTGACTCAGAAGCTCCATTACCAGGTTTGTTCCCAGCAGAAATGAAACAGGTATTCACGCAAAATATTGTACATGGATGTTAATACCACTATTTGCAATAGCCAAATGGTAGAAACGACCCAAATATTCATCACCTGATGAATGAATAAACAAAATGTTTATTCATATATCCATGTGAAGGAATATCGTTCTCTCATAAAATGAAATGATATACCAATATATACTATGACACGAATGAACACTGAAAACTATGCTAAGTGAAAAAAGCAGCCACAAAACCACGTATTATTTCACCTGTTAGAAATTTCCAGAATAGGTGTATGTATGAAGACAGAGTGCAGTTAAGTGCTGGGGTCAGGCAAGTCCAGATGGGGGGGGCGGGTGGTGAGAGGTAAGGATACAGATTCTTTTTTAAATGATGAGAACGTTTTAAAAGTGATGTTGGTGACAAGAGTCCTTGCTTGCACACACAAGGCCCTGGATTTGATTCCCAGCACCACCACCAACAAAATTTATGGTAACAACTACAGAACTCTGAATATATTAAAAACATTGAAATATACACTTAAAATGAATTTAATTGTGTGATATGTGATTGATATCTCTAAACACTTATTACCAAAAAAAAGGTCAACCAAAAGAAATAGGATTCTTTAGATTTCCTATATCCTATTGAATATAGGAATTCATAAGTAAAAACTAGCAAAAACAATTCCAAGGCCAGATTGCTGCATGGGTATATTTTTAAGGAAGAAATAACAGCAGTCTTCATCTCTTTTAGATAACAGTAAAATTAACAATCATTTCTCAACTCATTTTATAAGAGTACAACATTGTAAGGTATTTCATTAAAGGACAAGGATAGGCCAATACCTCTCCATTAATGTAGTCACAAAACACCAGTGAAAATATTAACAAGTTGCATAACCAGGTAGAATCACACAGGATGCAAAGCTGGTGTAACATTCATAAGTTCATCAATGTAATTCACCCATTTAGCAGAATAAAATAATAAAATTATATTATTATTCCTTAGGAGGAAGGCCAAATTGTAATTGGTCAAGACTCTTACTGGTTCTTGGATGCTGGTATTGTTTGGATGTGGTTTGTCCTGCAAAACTCATGTTAAAACTTGGTCACCAAATTCTCGAAGGAATTAATGTAGGCCCTGCAAGAGTGAGTTATTAAAAGGGGTCTGGCACTTCTCTCTCTCAGACACATTCCTCTCTTTTGCACATGCCTACTATACTTCTACCAACAGAACATTGGTAGAATGCCCTCAACAGAAGCTAAATGGATTCTGGTGCCATGATCTTAGCCTTACAGAACTGTGAGCCAAAATAAATCTTTCATTATAAAGTACTCAATTTCAGGTATTCTGTTATAGCAGCAGAAAACAGACTAAGACACATACCTTCTTATTATTATTTGGGGGGAGGGTGCAGTACTGGGGTTTGAACTCAGGGCCTCATGCTTGCTAGACAGGCGCTCTACTGCTTAAACTACTCTACCAGCCTGACACATACCTTCTTAAATTCACTCTTTTTTTTTTGGTGGGGCTTGCAAAGCAGGCACTCAACACCTGAGCCACACCTCTGTCCATTTTGCTCTGGTTATTTTGGAGATGGAGGTCTCGAGAACTATCTGCCCATGTTGGCCTTGAACTGAAATCCTTCAGATCTCAGCTAGGATTACAGGCATGAGCCACCAGCACCTGGTATTAGATCAACTCTTAAAATGCAGTAACAGCCTATACTCTGTAACAACTAAAATTGGACCATTCTTCACAATCCTTTTCAACTCTTTACATTTGGTCAGCTGAGCCTACACCATCAATCTGCCCTTTTATTTTTTTTGACAAATTGTCTTCCTTAAGCTCTTTTTAAATTACCTGAAAAACTGTATTAAAAGCCCCATTTTGGCACTGTGCCCTCTACTAATAATACTGAGAAAAAAGGAGGAGCAACACAGTGCATTTACTTTCCAGCTGTTATTGTAAAGATCTGGATTGTCACTTACATGAAGAGCAACAGACATTTTTCCTTACTTCAGATTCCACAAGGAATCAGTTTGGCTTAACCTTCTCCAGGGCAAATCTTTAAAACAAATATTGTTGATCTAACTCTGCACAGATCTCAGAAAAGTCAGAATGAAAATAAATGGCAGCTGAATTTTGGAAAATATGTATCAGAGAAGTGGAATCTTTCCACATGCTAACTCTTCTGTTCTTTCTTTCTCCCTCTCTCCCTCAGCTCTTTTGGCTTTGGTTTCATTTTTCAGATAGGGTCTCACACTGTTCCCTGGCCTGGAACCACGATCTTCCCATCTCTGCCTTCACCCACATTTCTAGATCTTCCCTGAATGATTTTCATCCACTCCTATTTCTACTTTTCCATACAATAGATAGACCTTTAAACACTTGAAAAACCCATGATTTACAAAAAACATATTAATAACTTACCTGAGATATGTTCATTTTCTGCTGCTCTTGGAAGAGAGTGGAGCACTGGGAAGGATATACTGTAGGTAAGGAAAGAGTTGTGAGGCATCTGGTCAGTCTTTGCATTAACCTGCCTAAGCATCTCACCATATGTGCTGGGGAAAAGGCCAGCTGCAGACAATATGTTCCCGTGAAACTGGAGAAGGGGCAGAAGGCACCAGAGAGAGACAGCACCTCCTGCATACGAGTGTCTCTAATATGATCATGTGGATATAACCTTACTGGGTTCTGATGGATGACTGTAAATTATTTTCTTGTTCATTTATTTAAAACATTTGTCTTTTTAGCACAAAGTGCTGAGTTCAAATTTCAGTCCCACCAGAAAAAAGTCCAACAAAGTGTTTATCTTATTTTACTACATATTTAAAAATTAAGAGAAAATTCTTATTAATATTTTATAGTATTATTTTCATCAACAGAAAATGACTAGGAAATGAACAAGATGCGCTGTTTAACGGTAGAATATTTAAACTTTCTTTGTTGTAATATCATAGTTTCTCGAAAATACCCTTGAGAAGACGCGTGTGATGATTTCCCCGTGAGTGTGAACGTGCTCCGTCCTAGCTCCGTCCTAGGCTACTGAGACAAAACATTGTGCTGAACTTCTGTTTCGGTTTTCAGAGAGTTAGAAACAGACACTTTCTCCCTCATTATTTTGTGGTTCTGTAGTTCAGTACAGATCTGGCCCATGTCTGGATGTTACAAGTGATGAATGTGGTGTGAGAGTGGCTCACAAAGTGTGAGGGAAGAATGAAAAAACAGGTTTACATATGGAGGACTGGGGGAACTCCCTTCAATCTGTAGCTGTAGCTGGTTATATCTTCCCTGGAGAAAATGGAAAAAAGGCCTCTAGGAAAGTGGCTTTTCCTGTGCATCCTGACAGTCATCCATCTCTCTCAACCCCAGGTCACCTCCTCCCACAAGTTGGTCCTCAAGTTTCACTGTCACATACTTTGTGACCACTTCTGGATATGATGGCATCACCAAAGTCTGCCTGTCTTGAAGCAAGGGATTATGAACTGCTTCTAGTTGGAAAAGTCAGGAACTGCTCCTCTTTGGGTTTCTCTGCTCCTTTTTGAGTTCTTCTGCATCCTTTCTGATGCTTCGGTGAACAGGTGTCTGTCAGGATTTTTTTACTAGGTGGGACTCTTGCCTCTGGGGCTCTTTCCTTCCTTATGCTACCCAAACAGCTACACTGCTATAGAGAAGCTGGCATTCAGGCCTGGGAAAAATTTTTTTTAGTTTAAACTTTCATGGACAACAGTGTGTTCTCCACTTAGCAGTAATGTTTTGGAATGGACAATTCCTTGTCATGGGTAACTCTCCTGTGCATTGTGGGATATTTAGGATCATTTTTCTTTCTTTCCTTCCCTCCCTCCCTTTCTTTTCCTTCCTTTCTTTCTCTCTCTCTCCCTCCCTCCCTCCCTCCTTCTTTTCTTTCTGGAACACTTCACACATTTGCATGTCATCCTTGCACAGGGGCCATGCTTATTTTCTCAGTACTGTTCTGATTTTAGTATATGTGCTGCCAAAACAAGCACTAGGATCATTTCTAAGCAAGATGCTTGTGCTCCCTTGCTCATGGATGTGTAAACCAAAAACATGTCTACACATTTTCAAAGTCCTTTTGGAGCTAAGTCACCCTAATTGAGAACCACTGATGTGGTTCAAACTGACTCTCTTGGAATTCAGTATTTGAACTATTGCTCATCACTGTGGCCACTAATCATATCCAACCACTAAGCACTGGAGATGTGGCTCCTGCCACACTTGAAATAACATTTTGGAGAGACTGAGAAAACACAGGATGTTCTCAAAATTAGTGTTTCTTTTTAGTTTCATGTAGCTACTACACTTAAAATTACCTATGTGAAACACTGTCTATGGGATAGCATTGCCTAGAATATCAGACTGTGCCTTTTAAATTTTTTGTGGCATTGGGATTGGGACTCAGAGCATAACCATTGGCTCTAAAACCTGAGCCCCCAGCCCTTTTTGCTTTAGTTATTTTTCAGGTAGGGTCTCATGCTTTTTGCTTGGGCTGGCCTCTACCATGATCCTCCTATACTTCTTGCATAGCTGGGATTAGTCGTGAGCCACCACACCCAGCTTGTTTTGTTGAGATGAGGTCTTGCTAACTTTTTGCCCAAGCTGGCCTCAAACTTTCATCCTCCCGAGGGAGCTGGGATTACAGGGTGAACCACTGCACTGGCCAGGCCTTGCCTTCTGAAGACAGTCGGCTTGGAAGGTGCTTAGGGTGCTAGGAGCCAGTGTGACCCAGAGAAAACACGCTTGCCACACAGTGACTCCACCATCATAGTCCTGGGGACTTGGGGACAAGTCACTCTGCTAGCAGGTGGGGCGGACTGCAGGACATGCTTGATTTTGGGGTGAGGCTCCTCACTCTGTGACCCTGGGCCTATCATTTATGGCTCAGCTCTATTTGTAGGACACAGTCATACCCACGAATAGGGCGGGGCGACAAGCCGAGGCGCCATCACTTGACGACAGCAAGGTGTCTTCCCTCCAATGGAGGACCTCATCTTCACGCCTCGCAGGGCCCTCCCCTCTCGGAACCGCGCCGCGCGCCCGTGTTTACCAACGGCCTCATTTCGGAGCAGAGACCCGACTGGGGTGCAGGCGACCAGGCAGAATTCACCTAGCTTTTTGCTCCCAGGCCTGTGTGCCCCGCGACGGCGCGCGCCGCACCCCGCGCTCTGCCGCCCCACCCCAGAAGGCTGACATCTGCCGGCCAGGAGCGCGGGCCGCCCGGCCCTTCCCTGGGGCCGCCCGGCCCTGTGGGCTCCACCCAGCCCCCGTCCCCGTCCGCGCCCCCGCCCCCAGCGCCCCGAACCGCCACGCTCTCACCGCAGTCGCTGACGCCAGGGAGGGAGGAAGCAGAAAGTGGCTCTGCACATGCGCAGAGGAGGCGTGGCACTCGGCCCGTGAAGGCCGCGCCACATCCAACACCCGCAAGACACACATCCCAGAATGCACAGCGCACGCCACCGGCTGAGCCTGTCTACACAGCTCCCTGAATGTACGGCGCAGGCCATCGTCCAACACCGTCGAGGCCACATCTCCCAGAATGCACTTCGCCTGTTTTCTTCCCCCATCCCCTCACCCCCCAACTCAAGGATTCTATTCTTTTGGAAAGTTTAGGGAGCGGTTAGTGCTGTACATAATCTGTCCTGAGACCTGAAACTCAAGTTCTTGCAGAGCCCCCAGGTTATTAGTGGGAATTTGTGACGTAAGAGCACACGCGATGGGTTTTCCTCCTTAGGATCCTAGTTACAGAAGAGCTGCAGAATGTATTTGGGATCAAGTGGAGAAATTTGTGTATAGAACGGACACTAAAAATGCTGAGGAAAGTTACCGTGACTTCAATAAATTTTATTACGTTGGGATTTTGAAGGCAGTTGTTTAGAGATGCATATTAAAATGTCGCAAATTACACGTTCACGATTTCCTTTGACATAACGATTAGGAAAGGCAAAGAAGCTAAGATATAAATTTCTACCTCTAACTCTGGGGATGCAGGTCCGTGGCCCAGCGCATGCTTCGCAGGCCTGTCAGGCCCTGGACTCCATCTTGGAAGCACACACACCCGTCCACAATATGGGTATGCTCATTTTCTCAACTTTACGTGTGTGAAAGAAATTAATACGAAATTGGCCGGGTGTCAGTGGCTCATTCCTCTAATCCTAGCAGCTCAGGAGACAGAGATCAGGAGGATCGCGTTTCAAAGCCAGCCCAGGCAAATAGTTCGGAAGACCCTATCTCAAAAAACCCTTCACAAAACAGGGCTGGTGGAGTGGCTCGGGGTGTAGGCCCTGAGTTCAAACCCCAGTACTGCAAAATAATAATAATAATAGTAATATATAAAGTCTATATAAGGAATATCTTAACTGTCATTTCACAAGTGTGATTTTGAACTCACAACTGCCAAGAGGAAAAAAGATATATGTAAACAGCTATTGTGAATAAAGCTGTAAAATACAAGTTCTAGAAAACTGAGCCCATTACTTCCATATTAGAATATCTAATATTAGATAGTCGATTATCTAATACCTAAGTATCTGTGTTCGTCAGTGTGTATCTCCGGAAAAAAAAATTAAGCTGCTCAGTGGCACAACATACCTGAAAGTACACGACTCCAAATAAGAAAGCAATAGTTATGCAAATTACACATATTCAGAGATAAACTTGCTGAAATTAAGAACCATATTAGAAACCTCTGCGCATATTTTATGACATTCTTTTTACTAATACACATGCATATACATGTAGACTTTTCTTGGTTCATAATTTATGACAGGCAATGACAAAAACCATAGTTTTGATTAGTAAGAAAAAAGGTGATTATACTATTTTTGCAATTTATGTAAATCAAGGTATACAATTTTAGGGTTGATACTAATATCAGATGAAAGGACTATAACAAAATCCAATCAGCATTTTAAAATTTATATATAGAGAGAATACTTTATACATACGTATCTATGCATATATATATGTATATATAGGCGATACTGGGGTTTGAACTCAGGCCCTACAGGTTGAGTCACTCCACCAGTCCTTTTCTGTGTTGGGTTTGTTGAGATAGCATCTTGCAAACTATTTGCTGAGGCTAATTTCAAACCTCAATCCTCCTGATCTTCCTCCTGAGTAGCTAAGATTGCAGGCATGGGCCACCGACACCTGGCTGTTTTTCTTTTATGACTTATCTTTTGTTTCTTAATCTAAAGGAACTATTCCAACTTTCAAATGAATAAAAATTTGTAGAATAGAATTGAAGACGAATCTATATTTGCTGTTGAGTATTCATTTGAGGTACTGGGGTTGAACTCAAAGTCTCACGCTTGCTATGCAGTTGCTCTTATTGCTCCAGCCATCTTGCCAGCACTTTATTGTGATGGGTTTTTTCAAGGAAGGGCCTCACTGAACTAATTGCCCAGAGCTGACTTCAAACCATGATCCTCCTGATATCTGCCTCCAGAGTAGCAAGATTACAGGTGTGACCCACCAGCGCCAGGCTGTTGCTGAGTATTTAAATATTGATCCTGTCACAGCAAAAGCTCAAGTCTAGAAAACAAAAAAAAAAATGAGGAAACAGAATGTATCAGAGCTGATCCTAACTTCCTTAAAGTAACAGGAAAGTACTGAAATAAAGTAAGGACAAACTCATGGCACTAACATTACATAAATAATTTTCACAGGAATTTAAGCTGTAAGAAATTAAAATACTTTATAGTGAAAATTTTAAATTTATAAATTTCTTAAGCTCTTTAGGTAAATATTT